TAAGTATTTTTATTAGTATTAGTAATAGTATTAATTGTTCGTATGAGTATTTGGAAGGTACATGGTCAGCTTTGGCATCACAGCTCCTTCCTATGGCTTCTGGTACTTGAGCATGCTTGTTGACTGCTCAACTTTACCCTTCAGCGTTGCTCCCAGCCTCAACTAGCATTCGAGTCTTCGGAAACGGAGCTGGCCAGCCGTGGTAGGAAGCTTCTCACAGAGACCGCTCTTCTTGCGAAAGGTTTCTGCTCTGGACAAGAAGCGGGTGGTACCCTTCGACAAGGACTGTTGGGGTGGGGCGGCGGGGGTAATATTCGGAATTTGGGCTTTAGGGTTTAATATTTCGGAATTTGAGCTTTAGGGTTTAATATTCGGAATTTGAGCTTTAGGGTTTAATTTTCGGAATTTGAGCTTTAGGGTTAAGGGTTTTCAGTGTGGTGGCTGAGTGCTTTTACAACCCAGCTCCTTGGGTTGCAAAAGTCAGGCAGGTGACACGGATTTTGGAAGCTCAGCGACCTTAGACATGGCTCGAAAATCAAGAACTATGTATAAATGAGAACTTGTATTCCTTCGGGACCTCCAGCGTAACCAGAATATGGTTATACATAAACTCCAAAGCCGTATTCTAGTTACGCAGGCCCTTCTACTGCAGGTGTGCCGTAGACCTTAACATGTTGAGCCTACCAGCCCCCACAACACGAAACCCTAGACCCTAAACCCCCTAAACTGTTGTAAAACTGTTCAACCGAGACACCCTGCAATGCGGGCTTCGTCCTTGCTAGGTAGGAGGGCAAAAAACCCCTAAACCCTAAAGAGAAGTGTCTCGCAGGACAAGCACGGTTTGCTGTGTGCGTGGCTCAAGACTTTGTACGTCGGCATCACGCGAGCCCGGAAGCGAGTGCCATGCTTTGACGGGGCTCAGGGTTCAGGGGTTTAGGGGTTCTAGGGTCTTGCCTGGGAGAGAGAGAGAGAGAGAGAGAGAGAGAGAGAGAGAGAGAGAGGGTTTAGTTGGTGGTTGGGGGTTCAAGGTTTAGGGATTACTCAGCCTTCTTTTCGGGCAACAGGTCGCAGGTTGTTTTCTGGCAGCCAGCAAGCCCAGTTTCAAACCAGGGCTTCAGGGATACATTGTTAGATTTCTCCCAGTGGCGTAGTGGCTTTCAAGGGCCTGCTGAATGTCTTTCTAGGGGCTTTGGAGATTGCGAGACCAATCCCCCGGCATTGAACATGACCTCCAATCAAAGTGTCTTACTTAGATTTCTGGAGGGCCCAGACAGCCCAAACCACCTGCAGTGAGGAACATGCCCCAAACATAACAAATCAAACGGGGATCCAGAGGCAGTGTTTCTGGAACAGGTGCAGAGGACTGTCTAGCAAGAGGGTGCAAAGTGTCGGGATTGAGCGTTCGCTGTCGGGCTGTAGGCCGTGGTGGTGGGTTTCGGGGCTTCGGGCACCCGAGCAGGGTCACAGACTGAGACAGGCAGAGAGAGAGAGAGAGAGAGAGACAGAGAGAGAGACAGACGAAATAAGGAGATAGGCAGACAACGCAGAGAAAGAGACAGACAGAGAGAGCGGGGAAAAGGAGAGGGTAGACAGATGTAGCGACGTCGAGAAGTCGGAAAGTAGAAAGGCTTTGGAGGACGAGGCTGTAAGACGTCTTGCCTCCTGTGGCATAGGTTCTTCCGAGTATCACCCTGGCTTCGCGGGGAGAGTTGATGAGATTTTTGTCGTCCTTTCTGAATGTTTAAACCCGCAGCCCAGGACAAAGCAAATGAGCAAGGTAGCTAATTAGAATGATGAGTTCCTCAGTAGATTCTCTTGGTGTGCTGGGATTGAAGGGCTTTAGTGGAATCCTTCAGTGTGCTGAGCTTCAACTACATTAAGCACCTAGGCACCTAAAATTGCTGGGGCACGTGCCCAAAGCTCTGCACCTTTAGCATCCTTCCAATCCACACCAAGGGCCTTACAGAGAGCTGCTTATTGTAACAGCACTGTACCTCAGATGAAACCTCGAGCCAGCTACCGAGAGCTTTATGTATGTAGATTGCTCGAAAACCGCATAGCATCAAAACCAAGGGCAGGAGAAACCCGCGTTTCAATCGAGCTCGTGTCAACAACGCTACCTGAAACCCAAACCCTGAAACTACGGGAACCGGCATTATCGCACAGTCCTACGACCGTAGATACTGCAGCAACAGCAGGACAAGTTCAGGACTCGAAACCATTCAATCATGATGCACGAACCTTCCAGGACCCTTGAACTTGAGCTCTGGATCCCCGAACAGTAGGCCTGAAGTTCCCTAAACACCAAGCCGGCAAACCTTTGCAACAGTGAGTCCTGCCGAAATCTTAAATCATATCGCCCACCCCCCTTGCATTGCGCCGCCGAGGCTTGGATTTTGGAGAGCCAGGACTACCAACTGTGCAGAGTGCGGGGAGGGGCAAGCTTGAGGTATCCCTCGGGCTGGGAGTCCTGGTTTCCAGTTTTATGGATGTAGTGCTCCGGTTTCAGATAGGGGCAGAGGCAATATCAGATGACTAGGTTTTTTGCATCAGCAGCGGGAACAGGGCTAATACTTAGCACCAGTATTGCGGTTTGAACTAGGTTTCCTTGACTTCGCAGCGGAGGCAAAGGCACTATTTAGCACCATTGTACTGTCCTCAGGTCTGTTTCTTATTGTTAGTTAAGGGCGAGGTGGGCAGTACCCAGCACTAGTATTGCATGTTGCAGGTTTGCACCTTTGTGAAAGTGTAGGGGTTCAAGCCCAGAGACAGTTTAAAAAAGAAAATGAATGCCTAGATCTTTGGGGTGGCATTCGTATTTAGATTCTTTATAGGGGTTGCAGGCAGTGGCGTTTGATTTGCAGTTTTGTGACTAGCTTGCTTTGGAGACGGGGGGAGCGGGCCTCTATTCATGAAGTTTGGAATTCAGCCTTTCCGGTTTCAGAGAGCTTTGAGAACAGGGTGTGGATGAAGTTTTGGCTCAAGACTGTAAGGCTTTACTCGGGTGCAGCAGTCTCTGCAACCTCGAAAGCACTGGTTGGCCGGAGGACTTCGGATCCTCCGTGGTCTCCTACCTGACCGGCCTGGGTATCGCGGAAGCCTACAAACCCGGTGATGATCCTTGGCACTCAAAGAGGGCTTATGGGTAACAACTAAATAAGCTCCACTTGAGCTTCGGAAGGCCAAAAGCGAATTGTTAGCAGACAAAGCCTTGCGGCGCACCCGTGATGTCCCAGTTGCGAGTGTTGCATGGAGAGTTGAAAGGTTAGGATTCCGATGCTCGGCAGGCCCCCGTGAGGTTCTTTGCAAAGAGCTCTTTCCAAGTGCCATACAGGACTTCTGCGACTCGTTGCCCTTCCCTCCAGCTCTATGTGGCTTGTACGACGCAGAAGGAACACATGCAACCAGAAGACTATGACGGAGTGGTACAGGGCAGCTAGAGTACTACCCACACTACGGCTTCCGCTACCGCGACCACCACCACTACCACCACCGCCGCCACGACGACCACTGCCGCCAACACGACCACGGGTACGGCTACGACCACGGCCACGGACACCACTACCACTACGACGACAACTACCACTAAGCTACTACCACCTACGCCGTCACCTATCCCTGCTGTAACTGCGACGTAAAAAACATAGTTACTACTCACCTACATGTCGGCTGTTGCCGCTACTGCTGTCCGTGAGCAAGACCACTGCCTATTTAGTCGTCGTTGTCGTGCGATCAGAAAACACCTCCAATATATGACTGAGAAATAGCTACATCCACATATAAACATATATATATATATACATACATATATATATATGTAGACACACACACACTGTTTGATGCCTGTTTGATGCTACCGAGGAACAGTCGGCAACCCTGCTGCAGGGCTTCGCAGACACCTCGTCGGCACAAACCTGGCTGGAGCAGGGGCAGGACTGTTTGCTACCCTTTGGGCTGCCTGAGGCTCAGCTTGGACGTGGGCCTAGGTGTCGTATAGAACTGCCAGACATCCTTCAAGATGCACTGCGGCGCTGTCTGCGGTTTTTCTTGGGATGCCAAGGGCAGCAGCGCGATGTTAAGACTCGTGCGCCCCTCCCCCCCCGGCCCAAACATGCCGATTGTGCAAGTGGTCATGCCACCTGTTACAGACCTCGGGCATTTCGCGTTCACTTTCCCCCCGGTTGCTGTCGCTTTACCTTCGGGGTCACCCGAAAGCCTTAAACGACACAGGCCTGGGGAACTTAGACCGAGCATGGTAGCCCTAACCTTAATCCCTCCGTGTCGCCCTAAACCCTACTGAAGCCCAAAGCTCTGAGATGTAACCCTCATCCTAAACCCAATGCAGCCAGAAAGGCTCGGCTTAGCCCTCAAACCCTAGCCCGAGCATGTAGGGGCTTCAACAATTAGAATAGGGTTTGGGCGTATATTCTACTACCTAGTAGTCGAGTAGGTAACCTTTAACCTTTTTTGGGTAGTCTAGCCCCTATATAATCCCTATATAAGCAAAAAGGTTAACCTTTAATTCCCCATGATACCCGACAAGTAGGACTATGACCAAAGTAAGGAGCCCCCAAAACCTTTTCAAGACCCCTAGATTAGCATTAGCCCTTTCCACCCACGGGAGCTGACCCGAAGGAGCTCTTCAAGCACGGGGCACTGAAAGAGGCCGCCCACCGCTTTGGGGTCTTAGAGCCGCCAAAACCCTAAACCCAAAATTGTTTATGGATCAAAGCGCCGAAAAAGTTGATGTAAAGGCTCCCACTGTTGTCCTGCAATTGTTAGATGATTTCGGAGCGTATGCGTCTTGGGGTTTATGGTTGAGTAGTGATTTCCGGCATTTGGCCGTTAGGGTTTCGCCGGCTAAGGGATCACTGGAAAATAGCAATGCTGAAGCCAGGCAGGCTCTTTGCATTGGCTGCCTCCTTTTGGCGACCCTGTCTGAACCGTTTTGCATTTCAGCGCATGTCTGCCGCACTGTAGTTGTAGCAGTCAGAAGGTTCATGGCGAATATCGATTGGGATGCCAAGTCCTACCCGGGGAGCTACCAACCGGTGCAGTTGGACTCCTCGAAGTATCAGCTCCCTTGCAGCGCTGTAGACTGGTGGAGCAAGCGATCGTGCTGTTGCTGCGCATGCTTCCCCTTAGCACACTGCATCAACGGGCGATGCAACCCCTGTCTCGCGCAGACTGTAGATGCCTTGAATCCTGAGATTTACAAGAAGACCCTCCAGATGAAGACGTTCTGCCCGGAAGAGATGCGAGGGGTCTGGTGGCTAGAGGACAATCTTGCGCACGAGACCCTGGTGATCTTCAATGATGCAAAGTGGATCCAGTCGGAAGACAATCCTGCAATTTGGTCATTCTTTCATGACCTGCCGCAAACTTGGTTTCGCGACCCCACACTCTTTGGGTACATCCTTGGCATAGCAGCTGCCTGGAAGATGAACGATTCAAACTGGACGAAGGAATGGCAAGCCTTCGTGCCAATAGTGTTCAATTTCGAGAAAGGCAAGGCCTTCTTCAAGGACAATGATTGGATCTTCAGGACCCAGACCTCTTGGTGCAGACGATATGTCTTCATCTTGTTGTAGGTTGTAACAGTTACAGCAGCATGCATATTACAGGCCAGCTATGTTTCATGTACTAGCCAGGCACACTCCAACATGAGAGCAAGCCCCCCATCTAGAATAGCACCACACACCTGTGCCAGGATCAACGAGGACGAGTGGCAGAAGTCGGCCTTCAAAGTACTCCCAGATGGCACAGTTACGGATGAGGTCACCTACATGTACCGCTGGCGGAGGGTGCGGGTCCATGAAAACGCACGGAGCTAAAGCCTAGCGCAAGGAAGGGTTTCCCGGGTAATCCCTGAAGCCTGATACAATCCAACCCACACATCGACCTGTGCACCGGCGAGGTGATGCGTGGCGATGGCTCGTTGACTTCGGCATGGGCCGACATGAGCCTCGCCGACACGGGGGCGGATGTTTAGGCTTTGGGTTAGGTGATCTACGGCTTAGAGTGCTGATGCTCGCACTCACAGGGTTTTGAAGGGGTTTGGAGTGTTTTAGGATCTACTCGGTTCGTTGGAGGGCTTCCCCGGATCTGGGCTGAGGCGTTACACTGTAGCTTCTCTTGGCAGCCTGAAGCCGTGTAATTAGCCGGGAAGAGGTACAGACGTGACCCTGTTCGAGAGTGTCACGTGCAGTGAGGTTCTGATTCTCGGTTTTTGATCATAACCTGTGCACTCCAGTGCTCTGAACATACAATGCGCCATGCAACTCAGGAACCCAAAGCCGTATGTATGTATGCATGCAGGCAAGCAGTCATGCCTGTAGGCATGTAAGGGTGCATCCTTACGTGCATGCATGTATGTACGTATGCAAGGTAGGTAGGCAGATATGCATGATTGCACGTATGCATGTGAGCATACTTGCAGGTATGTACGTATGTATTTGTACTGAAACTAGACATGACTTGTATATGTGTATATACAGCATTTATTTCGTGTATTTGTTTGTTCGGCGATTGTATGAACTTCTGTGCTGAAATGAAGCCAAGGGAGGCGATGATGAAGCGGCCATACAGGAGAGCCGGGGTTGCGAATTCGCGATTGGGAGGGGAGGTTCTTGTAGGAGTCGGAAGGTCCATAATCTTGGCCGGTTTAGGGTTTAGGGGTTTAGGGTTTAGGGTTTATTTTGGCGTCTTAATAATTAGAATAGGGTTTTGGGGGGTTTCCTTGTTTTCATTATAGTATAACATACCCCCAAGGCTTTGTTGAATTTTTGAGCCCGCTACAGCACACCAAGGATCCAACCGTTTGTGGCTTGTATTGAGATTAGGGGTGCGGCTTTTGGGATTAGGGGCTTTTCAATACCGGGATCCCAGCACTCTGAGTTTATGTTGGTGTCGCTTGTTTTCCGCAACTCCATCCGAGACATGCGGGACTTGAGCTCACACATATCGCAGTTCGTGCCTCTGCGTGTCTTGCTTCAAAGCGAGAAAGCCAAAGCTCAACCTTAAGAGTTCGGTTGAGGGTTCAAGCCAAGTGGGTTGCTGGCGTTCAAGAAGCCCGGGTGCAAAAGGGATTGAGCTTTCAAACTTCCCTAGTCCCTCAACTCCAGTACCTACTTCAGAGGCGACATTCCCAGCCTCACCTGCACCGTCAAGCTGTGAAGCATGAAGGCTCAAGGAGACATAAAGTAATAAGGTTCCTCTACTTCTACAACTAATTACTAGTTCCTTGCTGAATATAGTCATACTGCCACACCCAGTATCCTGCTCTGATTCCTGCTCTCTAAACCTCAAGAGTCCTGAACAGGAACTGTTTCGACCCGTGGTGCCCTTGCTGGCCGCTTTGTATTCCTGTGGCGGACAGGAACATTGAGATGGCGAAATCCGGTGGTATTCAGGCTCGGGTGTCAGGGTGTCAGAAGGTTTCCCAATTTGTTTAACTCCGTGCCTGAAGGCTTTTGTTTCCTTCAAAAAGCCCTACACTCTTAACCGTACACCCGAGGTCCAATGACCATAAGAGCCCCAACGCTCCCCTAAACCAAAGAATCTCGGCTATGGAAATGTGGCGGTTAAAGATAATGGGGGACCTTCACGTAGAACCCCAACTTATAGGACCGCAAAAACATACCCATAACCCTAAACCCTATAAACCGTAAACTCTAAACCCTAAACCCGTGACTTTATCAATTATCAGGCCCCCAATTTTGGGCTCAGGTGGGCATCTTCCCACCGGAACAGCGCACGGCTACGTTTTCGGGCTGCTGCTGCTTGCCTCCCTGTCCGTGCCCGTGCATGTGTCCCCTCTTTGCCAAGGTGGGGTCTTCCTTGTTTTCCCTTCTTGTCTAAGCTTCTAAACATGTACATTTGTGATACATATATATATATATATGTGTGTGTGTGTGAAGACGTTCTGGCCAAACTCGAAGATGCAATTATGGTACAGACGCATAGGGTGTGTATGTGTGTATATATATACATATATATATATATATATGTTTGCATAGACATATACATATACCATTCATTTTGGGATACAAACACGTAACTGTTGTTGCCGTTGTCTTTCCGCGCGACATGACTTAATCATGCATAGCAGCTTTGTGCACATGCATTTATCTATTACGTGCCTGCCCTCGTCACTAAGGTGGACGGGCAATGGGCAGAGCAATTTGGGAGGGCAAGTGCGACGTCTTCGGCACCAGCGCAACAAGAGATGAGCGAAGGTTACCAACCCATCGCTCAGCAATGATGATCCGGCTGCCTGAGTGCAACACAGACGGCCACCTCCTCGTATGCTGATAGCCACCGGCGCTGTTCAGCAAAGGCACTGAGACCAGACACAATAAGTTTGCTTCTCTTTTGCTGATGTCCTTACAGTTTTAATTGGATGGTGTAAAGCCGAAGATGAGTGAAAGGCTCGTGGAAGATGCACGCACATCATAGCGGTGTCAGAAGCCCGCCTGCAACCTCCAAGATCCTCCCACGGTTCGCTTGCATGCGGCCTGAACAGTTGCAATAGGCATCTTGTGGTAAGATTAGTAGTCAAGAAGTTCTGGAAGGACTAGAAAGGGGATAGTATGACTAACTCTTCACACCTGCTGCGTGACTTGCACGGTCCTCCCAGTACCTGAATGCTGCTCGAAACGCGAGAGACTTGCCAAAAAGCATGGCCCGGCCGGGCCAGCACCAGAGTTTGCGATGGAATCTTCGCCACAAGGGCAGCCTGCAAATCAACTACGAATGGTGCTATTCTAGTTGTTCAGGCCCCTATGACTACGGACCCTAACAGCCTGAAGTGTGTAGCGGGTGAGTATTCATGGTTTCTTACCTTAACAAGTCAATCGGAGCTGACATGTTCAGCGGCGCGATGTTCAATTTCCATCAGGCTAGTAGCTGTCGTGCTGGCTGGAAAAATAACCGCCGGTTCTAGACGCACGCTACATAGATGCCCAAGACTAGGGAAGCCTAAACCCCGAAACCCCCCCAACCCTGAACCCCTAAACCCTAAACCCTCTCAGAGTGAAACCAACTACTCAGAGCAAACCTGTAGTCTCGTCGAACCTACTTCTGCAGACCTTGCCAGGCTTGTCCGAGTGTGAGTGTCAAAAAAACCCTAAACCCTCACCTCAAGCTGTCGACGCGAAGCCCATAACCTCGAAGCTCCTCTGCCCTGACTCCCGGCAGGCCCGAAGCCCTAAAAACTTCATCCATCCTTCCCCTTTCAAACCACAACCTCCAGACTATAAATGGAAGTTTCCGAAAATAGGGGACCCTAATATGGTACCCTGAATAGTAGGATCCTTATTATAAGGACCCCAAAATAAGGGACCCCTAATTTTCGGAAACTCCCAAATCCTGGAAGGCATTGATTTCTATTTTCCAACGCCCTTGCACGATATGTCTTTGGATCGTGTCTTCTCTCAGCGATTCGTATACAAGCATACATTCATACATATTTAGAAATATGTGTATATGTATATGTATATGTATACAGATGTATTAACTCGCAGTTCTGCATGTGTCTGTAGGTATGCATGTATGTGTGTATGTGTAACGCAGATTTGCATGTGCAGCACGTACATGCGTATATGCCAATGTATGCACATGCACATGTGCGTGTGCATACATACATCTACATACCCGCACGCCCGACACCCCAAGTCAGGCCGCGAAGTGCTTCAGCAACGCGGAGAGGCTGGGCATGGACCAGGTGGGCTGGGTTCCTGCGAGTTCGCGCTGCAGGCTTTACGATATTCAAGCGCGGATTTTGGAGTTCGGGCTTGCTGCATGAAGAGCGTAGGGTTTAGGAGTTTAGGGTTGGAAGTTCATTCAGGGTGTATAGGGTTTTTGCATCGAATCAAAGGGCCCCGACGGAGGGATGAAGCTAGAGCAGGAATCCCGAAAAAAATCCTTACAACAGGGGTCCTCGATCCCACTACCTTGAGCGAACCTTGTCAAGCCCTTGCGGGTCTGCTTTCTTGGCTTTAGGGCTTTAGGCTTTGATACGAGCGGGGGCGGGGAGCGGATTGCGAGTGAGTTCGCTGTATATACGTACCAACCACATTCACAGAAAAATGCGCGGAAGCAACGAAATACAGCTCGCGGCTCGCCTCTGTTTCCCAAGGTTTCGTGTCCTGGTTGTGCAATCTTTGTCTTTCAGTTTTGCATGGGCTTCTCATGAATGAAGAAAACCAGCGGATCTGTACCATTTCATTCGAATGTGGTAGAACTATAGCTTGTGGAACTGAATTTCAGCTAGTTCACCGTGCAATCCTTCCTCAAACTCAGGTTTCTGAGGCATTGCATCAAAGCTTGTCTGAAGTTGCCCCATGCTTAAACAGGGTTAGGGTTTAGGGTTAAAGTGCAGACGTATTGGATACAATCCTGGATCGATCAACGGTGAGACGATGCCCTCAGAGCGAACCTTCGTTCTTGTCGCCTTCAGCTCCGGCGAACACGGAAGCTAAGCTCCTAATTACACCTAATGTAGGGGCATTAAGAATTTCCTATTTATACTAATTTTAGGGGCTTTTAATTCAACTGTTATTCAACATATAGTATAATGGGCCCCAACAGCCTATTCTAATCATTAAGGCCCCTACACTACTCATGTAGATTTGGTTCAGCTGTCATGACGAGTTGCCTCCCTGTAGTCACAACCCTGCGCTCGTAAACGGTGTTCCATGACTGCCTCCCAAGCTCCTTCCGTGGGATGGTTTGGGTCTACCCACACGAACGCCCCAACCTTAAGCCCCTGAGGGGACGCCTTGGAAGCTTCTTGCGGAAGCACAGGACCTGTCGAGTTGGTAAAGATGCTGGGGCCTGGGCTTCGTGCTTAAGCTAAATGAAGCGCTAAACCAATCTACGAAAGTTTGCAAGGCCGTTGAGCACACAGCCCAAGCAGTATATCACACGGCTGTTTGTTTCACGAGGTAATCACGTAAAGAGGAAGTACTCCCCACCCCGAATCCCCCCGTCCCACACCACCAAGTTCTTTCAGCATTCCTGCCGCTCACATGAACCGCACAAGGTTTGGTTTCCGCTTCTGGGACATGAGAGAGAGAGAGAGAGAGAGAGAGAGAGAGAGAGAGAGAGACATAGAGATTCAATTGGCTAAAGCAAATACTATTGACTATCGTGCCACCGCATGATGACATAACTTCCACACACGACCATCATGACGACAGGGGTGACCATCATGCCGTATTCGCGATGATCATAAAGCTGATGTTGCTGTTGACGGCGGTGGTGCGTGATGGTGGCCATGGCACTGCAAAGTACTACGGTAATGAAAACGGCGATAAGGCCTAGCATCATTACTGTGCTACTGTTGATGCTGGTTATGTAAAACAGCGTCCTTCCCACCAGCACTGAGGCGACCACGGCCACCAACAGCAAAAGCAACAACTGCAACAACTGCAGCAACAGCAGCGACAGTTTTCTGTTCCAGCGGCGGTGACGGCGATGGCGACTACTACACCCACGGAGCTCGCTGCGCTCTGTCACTTTTTTGTGGCCCGGGCTGAGCCTGAACTGTGCTCCTGAGGTGCTGAGTCGTTTGATTTCCGTGGCCCACGGCCACGGCATCTTATCGCTCCTGCACGCCACACCAAGCCCGTAAAACTGGGCAAACCAAATCCCTCGCTCGATCTATATACTGCTCAGGCCGGCTCAGGGACTTGCAACAAGCTGCATCCCCTGTGCTTGGGGAACTTTAGGGTTCAAGGTTGCGCACCCAGAATCATCGAAAAATCCTTAATGCCCATCCGTCACATCGTATGCGAGCACCTGCAACAACAACGTCACGAAGCAAGTCCAATGACAAAGCCTGGACAGACCACTCATGTTTCATAACCTCCAAACACTTCCATTCCAACAACACTTGCAGCCATAAGTCATGCCAGCAGATGTATCTGTGAGGACAACATGCTGCCCCAGCATGGTCGGCATGAAAAGGCCTTTTGGTCCATGAATCCCACATCCTGTGTTGGGATTTCGGGGTTCAGGACCTCGTCGAGGTTCGGATTTAGGGCTTCGGTGCTTGGAGGTGTCTGAGGCCGGGATTCGAAAACAAGGCTTTGGCCTTGGTGCTTGCATGGTTTTTTCTGTAGGACGTGTACCTTCAGGCCGTCGGAAATCGGAAGAGGTGTGAAGCTTGTACGCAGAATGGGCAGGGAGATGCTCACCTTCAACCCTGAAGCTTCTGCAAATCTCGTGTGCATTGAATGACGGCCAGACTGCTGGACATACAGCTGACACTCGCATTACGTCACACTCGTGACAGTGATGATTGACCGCATCTGGGCTGCGCATCGGTAGTGGCAACAGACGCTATAGACGTTAGGTGGGATTAAATGACGACTCTTGCGCATGGGTTTCATGCAATACACACAGAGAGACAGACATTGGAGACAACCAGCACTCTGTGAGGATTCAGCCTGAGCACCGGGCTATATGGCAAGTAGTGGTAGCCGTACGCGTCGCCCCCATTCTCCTTCTCGTGGCACGGAACTCCGGGCCTCGTTGCCGTTGTTGGTGTGTAGAAAACAAGATGATACTCACCAGAGCAATCCACCCCGCCTCAATCATGTTCACATCATGTGACCAAAAAGTTTGTACTGCCTCTGGGAAGAATGGCCACAACCCCCTGAAAGCGCAGGGTGCCAAAGCCTTTGTCAGCTTGGCCGAATGGCTGGAGGACCGGCCTTGTGAGAGAGGGCTAGGCATGTATTGTGTGGGCTTTAGTCTTTTGCCTTCGGCGCTACGGGGTTCTCAGAAGATTAGGGGAGCCTGGTTTAACGATTGTTTTAATGCTATGCAGAGCGTGTACGCATGTATATGTGTATGTATGCATGCATGTATGTAGGTAGGTAGGTATGTAGGTAGGTAGGTATGTATGTATGTATTGTGTGTGTTGTGAATCTCCACAAACCTCGTCTGACTTGTCGAGCACGAGTCACAAAAAATGTATTGTGTGTGTATGTGTGTATGTGTGTATGCATGCATGCATGCATGTATGTATGTATGTATTGTGTGTGTGTGTGTATGTATGCATGTACGTGCGCATGTGGTGGGGATCTCAGCTGATTAGAGCATGTGCAGAGCTTAGCACAAGCCTATTGTGGCTACCCATCATCACCGGTCAGGTTTTGGGTTGAGAAAACGCTTACAATATCACAAAGAACCCTCTACAAGCCGTGCAACCTCAAGAAGGGTTGACGGGGCATCCAGACACGGGGCCCACTAAGG